CAGAGGCACCAGAGGATGACAACGGCGCTGGGACGGTCTGCGTCAGCGTCGTGTTTGCTGTCGACGAGATTGGCAGTACCGGCGCAGCGCCAGAGTGACCAGTTGGTGCAGCGGGAGCAGCCAGGTTCATGGTTGTAGCGAATTGCTTTGCAGCTTGCGCGGCCGAAGACACCGGAGCGCCTGAGAAGATGCTGACTTGAGCGCAGCTTCCTGGGATTGTGACATCGGGTGCCACATTGCCGGTTGCAGAACAAGCGCTCATGAAGGTGGCAGCAGCCTTGACGACCTTGCCGATTGTCTTCGTACCTTCGATGACGACCATAGCCGGGTCGGTAGAGAAAGCATTCCGAGACTTGAAACCAGACACCGCAGTTGTCTGCGGGTTCTCCTGTGCGAGCGTGTTGGTACCGACCTCAGCGAGGATCTTCGCGTCGGCGTCGCTGCCACCTGCCACGATCTCGACGTCGGAACAAGTCGTGTAGTACTCATCTTTTCCATCAGGATAAGTACAGTCCTTATTGGACTCAGTTGGCCACTGCCAAACCCAGTAGACGGAGAGCGTTCCGGCGGCGATGGTCTCCGGGATCTTCAGGTCGGTCTCGCACCACTGCTCAATCACAGAGGTGGGTTGATCCGCGACGTGGTTAGGAAAGAGTGTCTGACGGTCGGTGGAGATGTTGCCGCAGTTAATCTGGTAGCAGCGGCCATCGTCGAAGTTCTGGGCTGTCATGAGGAAGCCCTTGCCGTTACCACCCTTGCCATCGCTGGTCCACGGGAGAACATTCGCGATCTTCTCGTCGTCGGAGGGCTGAGTAGTGCCGTAGACAAAGACAGTGCCTCCGCCTGGTGGCTTTCCGAGCTGGTTCCATGGGAGCGTTACGTGGCCGTTCTCGAGGTATTTCATTGCCACGTAGCTGCCAGGTGTCACCTGGAGCTTCGGGTATGCCGGGTTCGTGTAGTTTGAGGTCCGCTGAGCCGGGTGGCAAAGCGAGTCGTTGGAGGTGATTCGTACACCGGTTTCAGGCAGGAGGTAGTTCATGACGAACCCGTTGTAGCCCGGATCCGTTCGAGCCATGTACCCTCGCGGGAACCCGCGGTCGCCGATATATGATCCGTTGGAGTCGATGACCTGGAACTCCTCGATCCAGGAGTGTGCGAGAGCGGCGGGTAGAGTCGAGAGCGCCGCCAGGGCGAGGAGCGATGATGTGATGGTCGAGAACATGTTTGCGTTGGCGTGTTTGATATTTGCGATGACTTGTTTGAGTATGTTTGCTACTCGAGATGTGATTCTGAGTTGGAAGTCGGTAATGATGATGATGTTTGTGAGTAGGATTGCAGGAAGGCCAGCTTCTCTTAAGTATGCCTTGGATATGTGTTCTCTAGTGAAGAGTCGAAGTGGCGATGCAGCAGTTACTGCAATGTTGGTAAGATGACGATGGATGGATGTCGAAATGATGTCGCTGGAATATGCTATACTTAAGCAGATGTCGTAAGAAGGGCAAAGAATGATGGTAGGCGGCCAGCGCGAGAACAATGAAAGTAACAATAGGATTATGTGGAAGAGAAAGACAGTACCATTGTCTGGTAGTGACTGTAAAGAAAGCGCACGCGACACAAAGAAGAAGTGAACTTGCTATTGTCGCAAGCCACCACGCGGGCAGAGTCGGGTGTTAGTGAAGTGAGGTTTGATTGTGGTGTGCTTGCGTGGCCTGGACTACCGTGACTGTGCCCAGCAAGCGTCCGCCGCGAGTAGGCCACGTTTGCGCATGCCGTGAGACGTGGATAGTCTAGAATCCAGTGACTCCATATCTTGTTTGGTATGGCCGTGCTGTGGTGAAGCATGTCGATACGCTGGAGAGGTCGCACAGCACTCAATCTGTCGGCATGTTGCGCGGCTGTTTGGTGTCATGTCCCTCCAGTAGCCACCAGAGTCAGCGATGGCCAGTCGATGCAGCGCTTCGTGAGGAAGATGAGGAGCGGTATGGGAGAAGAGCACGACGTTGGGTGTGAGTTTTGAGTTGTTGATGCCGAGACGCGCTAAGGCTGCCGATTGGCTGGAGCAGAGACATGGTCAGTGCTCAGTTGCCGCCGAGACAAAAACGCTGCGACGCCTGTTCTTACCACATCGACAGAGCTACCATGGCACAACGCGAAGTCACAAACCTTGAAGTCTACCTCAACACACGCTACAATACTGCGCACGACCTGCTTGAGACCGACCCCGAGGCTGCAGAGCGCATGTTCGTGAGCCTCTTGCAAAACCCTCACCTACCACTCTGGAAGCGGACCCAATGCAACGGCATACTTGCATGCATCTCGGAAGATCCAAACGAAGCGCTGTCGTATCTGCATGATGCCCGTTATGTACTTGGCCTCTTTGAAGAACGGCTCGCGATAGTGACCAAACCGTGGACTGCCAAGATTGCAGCTATGAAGCAACACTTCGACGAGCAAGAGCAAGAACTCAAACAGCGTCGCGATAGTGCCACCGAACGAAACGTTACTGAGGTAGCGGCCTCTGATGAGTCCACATTGTTGCGCAGGCAGCAGAGCGCGCTTTCGGAAGGATCTTTGACCTCGCCCCAGGGTGTTAGTGAGCTGCCCTCTAACGAAGCAGCCATCTCCCAGCAGCTTCGGACATCATCACCTCACAGGACTGACAATGACTCGGATGATGCGCATACAGGTGCAGTGCTCTCTGTGCCTGGTTCCTCGCCCATGCTTAGCGCGGACAAGCCTGCGCAATGAGGTGCTTGAGAGGAATCAAGAAGATTTCACGCCATGCAAAATCCAACTTGGTATGATCCCGTCCCAGCCACTGAAGTGTACTGGGATAGTGCTGTTTTATGTCTAACCTTGCAACTGCTTGGTCTGGTAAGCGGTCACACATGCAACGTAGCGTATGCTGCGCCATGATAATACAAAGAACACCGTGTCTGCGGTGAACCTTGACGACTTCGGTCGAGCCCCTGACGATGGTGCCCACCTCTACGTGGTGTCTGGGACGAGTAGGCTCGCCTAAAATGAGCTGAAACCAAGAGGCACCAATCTTTGCTAACGAGCATGGCTCTTTTCCAGGCTACACTCAGTCATACCCTGAAATTCGGACTTCATCAAGGGATCGCATTGTCAAGCCGGCCAGTCTATCTTCCCGCCCCACAGACCTCTGTCACACTGTCGAGCCTAGATGCTTTGTTCAGTGTCGGGGACGACTACGGACAATGCTGGAACGCTACCAGGAAACAATGAGCTTGTGGAACAATGCCTCTGTCCTCATGTAGGGCCCATGTTTGTTCTGGCATCGCCATTGTGCGTTCTCGAACATTGAGCTTTTATACCGTGTTCCTTGCCCGTTCTGTGCTTCTTCTTCTCTCACACCACGCACCACACACAGTCCCAGCAACAACATCTTCTCCAGGAGAGAAGAACCAGATCGACACCTCAACAACAACGTCAGATAAGTCCAACACAACACACAATGTCCAACAGGGAAGAAGGTACGCTGACCATTGCAGAAGAGTATCGGATGATCGCTGAGCTGAGCGGCGACACTCTCGCTAATTTCTCAGTCGACAACCAGCCCCAGGATGCAATGAGTACGTGCTCGGACGATTCGCTTCCAGCAGACCCCCTCGATTCCTACTTTGAGAACCTCCAGACCACTCAAGAGCACGACAGGGTCGCCATCGTCAGTGACGAGCTTCTCGCTCGAGTCAACGATCCACACTACTTCCGCGACCTCATGCACAATGCGGCGTTGAATCTGGATAGCGGTGAGGATATCGAGGAGGAGGCGCAAATCATCTTCGATGGGTGGGAGGATGCGTCAAGCGAGATGCCCTACGCACAAGCTCGATTCATCACCAGCACTATACACAGCACCCTCCACCGCTATGCCACACAGCATCCTCGCTACAGGGCCTTGTGTAACGCTCTGTTGGAGCACGTCCACGGAGCTCACGAGGAGGTGGAAGAGACACCCGAGGGCGAGGCTCCAGCCTACGGTGAGTGGGCGCTCGGCCACGATCGTACGGGGCAGTAAAGATGAGTGAGATGTGAGGCTTGTTTCGATTTCCTATGTTGGACTGATTTGGGAGTTTGGAGTTTTGTTCTCGATTCCTTATGTTGGTCTCGATATGGGAGTCTGGTGTTAGTTTGCTTTGTGACAGATTTCTTTTGTTGGCTTGCGAGAGTGGTGCTTGAAGTAGAGGTCAAATAGAGAAATAATAGACTGCTTATCGGCGTTTGCAACAAAGTTCGAACTTCCCGTCTCAAATATTATGATAACGCATGTGGCCTCGGAACAATGCCTCAGAAAGCAAAGAATTAACAAGTCATCAAGTATTATATCTGGCTGTGTGCTTGTCAACATCTCGTCATCTCATGTGAACGATAATACAAGTTCTCAAAATTCCAGCATTCGCTTTTGTAGGCTGGACGAGTCGAATACACCAGTAAGCTCCGACATCGTATGCGTAGTAGAAGGTCGATCCAGAGGCTCAGTAGTAAGCTTACGTCCACCTTGACAAGTTGATGATCGATCTGTGTGAAGTATTATTGAACTGTCAGCACATGCCAGTGTCTCCCACAGCTAACCGGGTTATGCACTCCGTTGAGGATAGCGTCTCCCAGGCCAGATAGTGGTGATCGTACTACCTTGTCCATCTGCTCAGCATGGGACACTTGCGGCTGTGACGAGAACTTTCATAGTTCGATCGTGTCTAGACGCATCGAGGTGAGTACATCGTCGCCGATGAGCAGTGCTCTACGGAACATGTTAGCACAAAACGCAGCATTCCACTCTATAACAATGGCAATGAAGTGTGTGCAATCGAAGCACTACTGCTGGATCCAGCGAAGTAGCAATGGCTATGGGCATTCTGAGCCGTCATTTGTCGATCGACAGAAGGGTGTATGTGGCCTAGAAGTGCGAGGCAAAGTGCTGTGGCAAGTCAAAAGTTCTATGGCAAAGCCAAAAAGTGTGGTTTATACTGCCCGTTTGAACAGAGTGGGAATCGAACCCACGCCTCTTTCGAGACCAGCAGAGGTTGTAATCGTTGCTTATTACTGCCCTGAAGCTGGCGCCATAACCGCTCGGCCTAACAATAATCAGTTGGTGTTCAATCAATGTGATGTCGTTGAACTCACCATCTGTCCGTACTGTGATATTTAAACATGATTTGCTACACCATATATATACACCAACGGTAATGCCGACGTACCAGCGGCTAGGGGGAGATGCGGATTGGTTGTGGGCGGTGTGAGCGGTGCCAAGGCGGATGTGAAGTCTGTCACATGCCAAGCGCTTTCGTACAAGCTCTACCCCTCTACGCTGACACAGATTCTCTCTAAGAACCCCATCGACGAGTCACAATCGTTCCAGAGGGTTCTGACATCCCTACCCATCGCTTTCAAGAGTTTGATGCGATTTCGGGCCCAGACCGGTTGATTTGGACGTTGGACTGTCTTTCCTCAAAGCCTGATCGATTGGATCGATAAAGCAGCTCGCGGAGCTACTGTGGAGAGCTCCAAGAAACCCAGGATCCCTGTCAACGTTGCAGAATTCGACGGAGTAGTCGGAGGGGCCAGCCATCTTTAAACGATCTCAAATTGCAGTACAACATTCTGGAGGCTTCCACTACTCGATCCGGGCGACAGTGATCGAGTACCATGGGCTGCACGACGGATATATGAGGCAGGAGGGGTCATACTCACGTTGCCGCAGGCAAATTTTAATGTGAGGTCCGTTGCGGGGACATTCGGGGACATATGTCTTGACCCGACGCTGCCAAGACTACGACTTGAGACATCACGTCTACAACCGAGATCTCTCGATTGCTCGATCACCATTCGGCTTCTCATGACACAAACTCCTTCCGAAAGCGCGTGCTCTGCGAAATAGATGCTGCCTGTGCTCAGCCGCCAGGAAGGCTGAAGAGCACGACCATAGAAAGCCATACCTTGCTTTGACCAGACAAGCAAGTCCCTCGAAGCAATTCTACTCGCCAAACGAACACAGAAGATGCCGCAGGATACTCCAATGGTGATCTCAGGCAAGCTCAAACGCAGAGTTATGGTTGAAGCCCATGCTTTGAGCTACAAGTCTTAGCAATCAAGGCATGGCAGATGCAGACACGTGAGGAATATGCATGCAACAGCCTACGCGACGCCAATGCACTGTGCCTGGAATGCCTACACCGCACGACAGACGACTTTAAGAAGTTCCAGCCCGCTGCAAGATATTCAGGCTAGTGCACGGCAGGTCGAGCAAGGTCGAGGTACTATCAAACGTTGCATACTGACTATGTACCACTCACTCAACATACAGCTACCCAGACGCCACGTAAATTATGGAGTATCGATTGTCGGGCCCAGCGCGTGCCTCTGGCTACCCACAGCCCATACCTATTGGCGCCACCAATCCACACCCGGTCCATACAGCCGGTCCTCTAATAACAGCTCGTTGTGAGCTTCGACCATGGCTTCTATATCGACAGACAGGGTAAGGCCTTGGAGGTCGTTGATGCCCATCTCTAATCCCATCAGCTCGATGTCATCCTCGTCGTCCTCTTCGTCTTGTACGATCTCTGCATCGGTTCGGGATTCTCTTTGTCCTGAAGAGCTATCTTCGGGCGATCCCGAGACCTCGATCTCTACCAGATCACCTCCTTCACCGAGACGCATGAGCAAAGTTCTGGGTCCCGTGGTACCGCGCGCAGGGGGGTCTGAAGCACCGTCTGCGGAAGTAATCAAATCCACCAGAAGCCTGTTGATCTGCTCTTCGTGCGCGTGTACCACCGCCTCGTACTGGTGAGGGTCAAACCCGGCGCGAACCCCGTGCCGCGTACTCTGACTCCTTGCAGTGTCTCTCCGTGCCCGGCGCTCCGCGTACTCATCATCGCGGGCTCTGACCTCTTCACGATGCACTTCCTGTTCTTCTTCACGCAAGAAAGACTGGAAGACCAAAGGCACAACCTGATCACCAGGATGCGCTCCGGCAAACTCTGCAAGATCACAGATCAATTGTTCTCGCTCGGCGGTGGTCGTGTTATCGAGAATTCTGACACCGTCGGCAATGTTGATGATTGCCTCAAGAACGCTGAACCACTCAATCGTGGCAAGGCTATCCCTCAAACCCCTGGCGAGCTCACGCCACCCTAATCTCTCGACTCCGACCTGGTCAAGTCCGGATCCGGTCTCGAGATATCTCCGGCAGTGCCCGTACTCCGTGTCCCAGACTCCGTGTCCCTGGTCTGGCATCTCGGCTCGTGCTTCTTGCAGCTGGGCCGTAGGTAGGTCTCCATCGTCGGCAGCGTGTAGCGTTGCTCGATCTACACTACTGCCTGCAGTTCCTCCAAAATCGCTGTATCTACCGATTGGAAGTCCCTGCCGCGCACGAACATGCTCCATAAACCCGCCGTAATCGTCAAGATCAAAGGGCAGCCCTTCTAGTCTACGAACCACTCGAGCAGGCTCTCCGGAACGCGGCTGTCTGTCGTTGGTCTGCCAGGCGACGCTTAGCCGGTCTGGGTCCAGTGGACCTCTCGGGTGCGGCTCGCCAGTCAGCTCCTCCATCCTCTGATTCATGATATACACCAAGCGATCGAGGGAACTGTTCATGACTTCAGACAAGTCCCGAGCGTCGTTCTGTGCGGCAGCTATCTCTTCGTGCGTCATGCCTTGCCACGATGGAAGACCTGCCGCTACATTCCTCAGAACCCGCAAGATACTCAGGGGTATGACTAAGGGAGGGTTGTGCAGTGATATCTGGGCATGCTCAATGACGAGCGGTGGCGCCCGTTCCTCTGGCGGTATGTGGCTTAAAGCCTCTTCACCGGGAGTCGCAGGTCGTGTTTCGCCCACGATCATCGTGGTTATCTCCTGTTCGGAATAGCCCCACAGTAGTGGTAACTCGCCTGGAGTATTCGAGAACCGTGGCGGAAGTACGAGCCTTACCTGGTCGCCTCTGCGGACACCTTGAGAATTAAACCCGTATATGTTATGGCCATCATGCTGCGAAGTTGCGCTACACATTGTCAGCGATTGCTTTGAGGACGACACGCATATGCTCACTGGCTGTTCTGATCTCCAGTTGCGGTGAGTGGGATTTGCAGGGCAGGTAGAGAGCTATGTCCTTCTGCTTGTTCTCTGTCCGACATTTTGCTCTCGGGTGCGGATGATAAAGCGACCGCTGGCAGTGGTTGCGAAGACATTACATACGACGTTCGAAAGGGAGATATGCAGTGACCGCGAGGATGTCTTGTTCACTGTACTTTCGAGCGGCCTATCAAGGGGTCTGGCGACAACATACCGCCCATGACCACTTGAGCCTTCGCGATGATCGTCGTGAGGCTCATGAGCAGTTCGTCAGATGCTCTGCCATGGCGCATCCATTCACCAGCTACTCTCACCAATAGTGAAGAAAGGAAATGTCTACCAGGTATGTACATGGCTAGGCTGCGTACGAGGAAGAAGGGTGCGATGGCCCTTGTTCTTCAACACAGGCGTTTGCTTCGCATTATTGCTGAATTTTGAACGACTTAATTGCTACCTAAGAAAACGGATGACATATCACCCTAGCGATCGACGAACCTCCACCTCCTCACTGATCGGTGCTCACGAACTGGTTGCAACCTATACAGCTCCTCCACTGCCACACAGGCACAAGTCGGCTCGCAGGGTCAGCGGGATTCACGCGCACCGTCCGACCATTCGGCCTTGCGTGCTCATCATGCGTCATGATGGTACCACACACGCAACGGGCCACTACCTGCCTCTTACCACCAACCCATTTCATTTGCGCCCTTCTTTGCAATGGCGTAAGCTCACTTCGAGGAGTGCCTTTCTTCGGCCTCTTAGAGCCTATCCGAGTTGGCTTCTTGCGGAACTGTATGCGAAAGCGGATCTCGATCTCGGCCTGCGCATCCGTGGCGACGTTGTACCACCATGCCTGGTCGTGGTCGCGACAGAGATGTGCAACCCTTGGCTGATTGGCATTGATGCCGCCCGTCCAATTTCCAGGAGACATGCAGAAACACTGGCTGAGCGTATCCTGAGCCCACAAACGACAGTCTTGGCAGATGCCGAACCAGAGTTGCCGGCGTCGCCAGTTGATGTCTAGCAGGCGTTTATCCTTGCAAGGCTTGCAAACACGAGCGTCCCGAGGAGGCAACCCATCACGACTGTGCGTAGGTCCGACGACAATTCCAGTCTCGCAACACAGACTCGGCTCTTGCATGCCGTGAGGAAAGCCTGGCGTTACCGTGCGTGGATTGTGCCAAATCCCAGGCCTGGTGCATCGTGGTGCTGTCGTTCCAGGAGGTTCGAACGCGGGAGGTGCAAACAGATTTCTGGTGTGTGCATGGTGTCGACCCGCCGGCAGAGTGACATTGCAGTCCTCACAAGTGGTACCGTCAATGCGCAGTACGTCACCTGCTGCATCTCTGGCCTGCACAGCGTGTCGCAAACTTACAGCGTCTTGAGTGTTCACAAGGCCAAAGATAGCATCTCCAATGACGCCTGCATTGAATATGGGACGGAGCTCTGCCCGTGTGTAAGGTATGGGGTTGCCATTGGCATCGGTGAGAGGTCTTATGCGTCTTCCATCGGCTGTTGTTATCACATTCGGCAATGCTAGTGCTGTGCCGACGCCTGCAGGGGTCGCTGGAATGGCTGCCGCTGTACCTGGAACTGCTGGCAATGCTGGTGGAGCGGCACTGCTTCCTGGGACATCTGCACCGCCTTGGCCTGAATCACCCGCCTGGCCCGAGGCCGCTGGACTGGACTACTCTTGGCTCATAATTGATCCTGTTGTAGTTCCAAGAGACAAACCCCAAGTCCAGGTCATTTCCCACCAACCTCAAGGCCATTGTAGACAAAGAATTACCGAAAGCGTCCGACATGCTGAAGACCAAAAAGGTGAGACAAAGAAGTGTCATGATGGCAAGCTGCTCCAACTCGACTCGCTGTATCGTGAGCAACAAGCAGATCTCAAGGCTTCGCCTCGGTTCGATAGCGATATGTGCTGGGAGCAAAGTGTACAGGAAGCCAGAGAGTGGGTGATGTTGTTTCTGTCAGAGCTAAAGCACAATCGAAAAGTAAGAAGCAAGAC